TTACAATTTCAAGTTCACTGTCATACCAAGCCGAATCTAGTACTTGGTCCAGCGACCCTTGGCCTTGAGCACAGCCCGCACACGCCTAGGCATGCTGTCGATCAGCTCACGGCACCAGGCCGCAGGGATCTTCTCCCATTCCGCTTGAACTCTATCCCATAGCTCGAGAATGCCTGCAGGGGGGCGGGGGTAAGCAAGCAGCTGCTTCTTCAAGTACACCCACAGATGCTCAATGGGGTTGAGGTCTGGACTTGATGCTGGCCAAGGGAGAACCGAGTAGGGCTGCTCGGCTAGGTAACTTTTCACCATTTTGCATGTATGCTTGGGATCGTTGTCATGCTGGAAAACTACTGCCTCAGGGTCCAGTTCGTAATGCTCTATTGTCTGCTGCAGTTCGTCTTGAAGGATAGAACGGTATAACTCCTCGTTCATCCTCCCCTCAATCTTACACATAAAACCGGCTCCCTGGTATGTCATGCACCCCCAAATCATAATCGAGCAGCCGCCATGTTTGACGGTCTGTCTGACATGGTGCGGCTCCATGGGACAATCCCCGCGAATCCAGGCCCAACTACGCCCGTTGCTACTAAAACGGCATATCTTCGTCTCGTCACTCCAAATCACCCTTTTTCCAATCGTCGCCCGTCCAATGCTTATGGTCCTTGGCCCACTGGCGGCGGTCCTTCACTGTTTTCTCGGATAAGCGTGGCTTAGTCTGCTTTTCTATCGCTTTCACGCCGTGCCGCTTGAGAGTATTTCGAATGGTGGCTCCAGTGACACTAATATCGTGCGTCGAAGCTACCATTCCCGCGGCGGCCTCGGCGGATTTTGATTCGCCAGAAACTATCGATCTAACGATAATCCTAGCAATTTGCTCTGGTAGCTTGCGTGGGCGACCTGTTTTCGCCGGGGACGGAACTAGTTCCTCGTACGTCTTCGAACCGAGGTGGCGGATGAGCTCATCATGGACTGCGCTTTTCGAAACGTTCAACTCCTTAGCGATTTGGCGGTAGCTACGCCCCTCGGCAATTAGCTGCATGATACGCTTCTGTTTCTCCGAACTAAGGCGCTTCATGATGCGGCGGTATTAGCGCTACGCAAAGAGCGTCGACGAAGCTCTTAATCACAGGCGTAACCAACTATTCTAGATCTAGTTACTGCCGAACTGAAGCGCGGGACAAATCGTAAGTATTTGTCCGTGTGGGGTGTCGAGAGTGAAAATAGAGCTCGTTACACCGAGTCATGAAATCGGGGCCTTTGGTCACGTTCGCACATGGGTAACACTTCGACGCAACACCTGCACGCATTTTGTTTAACACTATACTCGGTAATATTTATAAACGGTGCATATTATTGTACAACTGGAATACATAAGGACAAATATTTGGTTCAGTGTATTCCTCTGCTGCGACGGACCCTTGTAGTTCATGCTGTTCGGATTGGAGTAGCACTCTGCGGCACGATGTCCATAGCGCCCACAATAATCGCACTTGCCGCCAAATCCGCGTTTCTGCTGCCACTCCGCTCCCCCATTCTCCACTTTCTCGTTCTTCGCCACTTTGCCCTTGTAGTTTCTGCTTCGCAGATTTTCGTAGCAGTTTATCGCCTTATGACCGCGCTTTCCACACTGGTAGCACGCTCCAAACGCCTTCGTTGCGTTCACCAAAGCCGGCCTCTCCTCATCAAATTCTTTAGCTGCTGCTGCCTCTTTCTTTTTCCTCGTCTCCTTCACCGTCTCAAGCGACTGCACAATCTCCTGCAGCTTCATCAAACTCTCCGGTGGTTGGTACGTAAACATACCGATGTCGGATTCGTACTCCTTATGAAGTCCATCGACTATGTAGTCGATCATCGCTTTCTCCATCTCCGCGGCTCCCATCACACGTAGGTCGTCGTTGTAGCTTTTCGCCCTGTTGATGTAGGTGATGATTTTCTCGCCCTTTTCCATGCTCAGCGTCAGCAATTGCTTCCTACTATAATCGCCTTCTTGTTGACATCGTTGGTGCCCATGTACGTGGACTCCAGGTATTCCCACGCTCGCTGTGCAGAGTTCAACTCTCCTGCAAACTGGTCCAAATCCACCGCGATTCAATCGGCAACTGAATGACAAAGCTGAAAGAACGCTTGCTTACTTTGCTTTTTAAACGCCGCTATTTTCTCCTTCTTATCCGTCGTGGAAGGCGCAACTCCCTCCATCGTCTCCTCGTCGGGACGGTAGTACGGCAAGAGGTCCACCTCCTCTGCCATCCGAATGAACTTCTTTCGCCACACGTTGTAGTTGCTTCTGTTGAAGCGCTGGGCTTCGCTGAGCCCGATCGTCGGTTTTGCCACCAATCGGCCACTCGCAAGGGCCTCGAGAAGAGCCTTCAACTACGGGTCTCCAAGACTCACACTGGAACCCGAACTCGACTCGTCTCCCATAGCGTAGGCGTGAACGACTCCTCTTCTCCACTAATTTCACTTAGCACACCAAGTGAATTCACCACGCTCGACGCGTCCGTTCACCAAGCTCTGATACCAGTTCTTAGGATCGTAATCGCCTTAGCCTGCAATAGTCTACTTGCTATTGCTTATCGTGTTCTCCACGATCTCCCGAATCCAATGATATGCGCAGCTCTGCTTGAAGTTGTCAATACACACTTCAGCAATTTTCAGAACCTGATTGGTTTCAATGTTGTCTAATGTTGTTGTGATTTCCAGAATGAGTACAAGCAGTTTTATAGTCAACCAAGGTACAAAATGCGATTCGTAACTTCACTCTTTTCCCAAGTAACCGCGTGCGCCGCGTTCACCCCGAGTCGCACACGGAACCGAACCGAATGCACCGAACACTCCTCAAGTCCGAATCTTGAACATTTTTGAACACGCCTTGGTCTCGAACCTCAATTCCCCCCCGTCGATCTACTTCTCTCGATGCTTCTCCTTCTCTCTACCTCCTAGCGCATTTCTTCCCAATTCTTCTCCCGCTTCTCACGCCGTAGCCGATTTCCACCGCTTCACTCTACAATAGTCCACACGCTTCCGCCGCCTTCATTACGCCATTGTAGAAGCTTTTGCCGTAGGTTCCGTGGTTGGGCGAACCAACACTAACATGGTCTTCCTCCTTGAAAGAAAGCAACACGGGCAAAGGGAAAGGACAGATGGAGTAACAGTAAGGAGGCGGTATAAGCAGAGAGTGAGTAATGGAAAACGGGAATGGTATGGGTATAAAGAAGGGAGTAAATCTAGATTCATAACTGAGGTGGTAGATAAGAAGACAGATGCTGAGAGGACGGGCAAGCTCGGGCGGGCTCGGGCAGGCAGACGGGCGCGGGCGGGCGGGAGCGCGCGGGTGGGCGGGCGGGCGGGCGGGCGGGCGCGCGGGGGCGCGCGCGGGCGGGCGCGCGCGCGCGTGGGGGCAACGTCAGCATCATCAATACACCCGCTCAGCTTCACCATCTCTTTTTCCATGACGCCTATCTCCTCTACGCTTCTCTCACCATCTGTTTCCAAAGCCTTCTTTGCCTGTGCCACGAGCCGCGCCAGCCACTCATCAACATGCAGAGAGCGCAGCTGCAGCCATGCACATTGCCCCTTGCTCTTCCTGAGCGCGCTGCTGCACTTCTCGGAAGGGCATTGCAACCGCTCGTCCTTCTCCGCCTTTCATCGCTCCACTAGGAGCTCTTTCACCTCCTCTCTATCATTCTTATCAGCCCCACCGTCTGTTTGCCTTTTTGAGTTCTCCTATGTATGTTTCTCTGTTTCCGTCTCCTCCTTGACCTGATCATTTCCTTCCTCTTGCCTTGATCCAGCCTCACTCTCTTTCAGCTTATCATTTGTTCTCCCCCCCCCCCCCTCGTTTCCCTCCCCTTCTAGAGCCCCCCTTAGAGCACCTGCTGCCGCTCCTTCCCGCACGTATCCTAAACTTGCCTCTCTCCTCCCCCTCCGCCTTCTCCTGCTCATGCTCCTCCATGCCCTTGAACGCCTTAGGACTTACAAGGACGGTCCCTGAGCGCGCTTCATGGCAGCACTGCAAGCAGAGGTCGTAGGCGCACTTAGGACATATGCAGTGCAAGACAACTATGCACGTCTGGCAGTACCAACTGCGAGGAGGGTAGAGAGGGCAAAGCGGGAGTGAGGACAGGGCAGTGCAGCGGAAAGGGTAATGTTAGGACGATTGGGGGAAGGAGAAGGGGTTGGGAGGGTAAAGTGAGGGGTGAGGGAGGCAGGACGATACAGTGGTTGTGAGCCGAGTGGGTGTAAAACAAGATTCCTTGCTCCCATTTTATCCGATTTCCTGCCACCCACCCATGCTCTACGGCGTTCTCATTCAACTCTCTTGCCTCTTGCGCTTTGCTAACCTAGCCCTCCGTCTCTGCACTACCATGCACTCTCTTCAAACATAACCTTGCATCTTTCCACACGCGCCTGTAAACGTTCACAATCACACTGTCCGCATGTCTCTCAGGCTCCCCCTGCTCACGCTTACCAGAATAACCTCTCGCCAATGAGCAGCTACGCGCGTTCCACTTTCAATGCTGGTGGAGGTGGGCGGAAGGGAGAGGCATGGCACGAGGGGCGTGGTAGAAGAGAGGCTCGTGCCGGTGCGAGGTGACAGGTGAGGGATGATCGATGATCTAAGAGTGGTTAGGGATGGATAGGGAAGGAGGGGTAAGGGAAGGGGGAGAAAGGGAGGCCGAACATGAGGCATGGACATGAGACTGGAAGGTGTGGCTGAGTGATGATGGAAAAGCAAGCAGGGTTCTCTTCCATTTCCTCCTGCTGCTCGCGCTGCATGGCCCTCACATGCGACATCACCGCCTCCAACAACCACCGCGCCATGGCCCTCTGCTGCTCGGGGGAACTCTCCGCCTGCTGCCATGTCAACTACAGGGCGGGCAAAGTCAAAGGACAACGGGAGAAACATCTAGGAGGCGGTATAAGCAGAGAGTGAGCAATGGATAACTGACATGGTATGTGGATAAGGAAAAGAGCAAATTTAGAAATATAATTGAAGTGGTTTATAAGAGGACGGATGCTGAGAGGAGAGAGCGAGAAGCGTGAGTAGGGTTTACAAAAAGAAGGGGCATGCAGGTGCGCAAGCAAGCCTTGCAGTTGTAGGCGCCAAGGCACTTGGGGCAGTTGGCCTTGATCTCCTCTGGTGTGTGGAACGGGTGCCTGGTGCACGCGCATGCCATGGCGGGGGGGTGAGATGTGTTGCAAGCTGTAACCCAGTCTTGTTGTTGTACGTACTCAGTGACGCTGTTAACCAAGGTTGGTGGGATGAGTAGGCGTGTTGGCAAATCAGTGTAACCCATCAGCAGCGACTGCACATGCAGCTTGTCAGTGGGTTCTTAGCAGCCCATGCTCTCCCACTTTCCCTCTCCTGTCCCTCATCTCGCCGTGCGTGCACTCGCCCCTCTTTCCTGCGCTCACCAGTTGCTGATGCAGGTGCCGCAGAAGCGGTGGGTGACCACCTTGCTGCAGACAGTGATGGAATCCTTGGCATTGCGCTGGCATTGATGGCACATGCGTCTTGTGCTCTGGCATGCGCATAGGGTACGTACTCACGCGCGCACACACGCACGTACACACCGCCTGGCACACGCACATATGCATATGCACACGCAAGCATACAGACGTAAGAAGGTGCATACACTCGTGCGTGTACATGCACAGGGTCACACTCGCATGCAGACGAATAGGACACCACCCACATGGACACCATTTGATCTAAGCTATAAGATATTTTGGACGTCTTGTTGGTTTGTTACAGTCCAACATTAAATCTAATGATCAAGAGCAACACGCGAACCTTCAGCGGAGAGCATCGGCAGAGGAACGAGCTAGTGGAGCATTTCTATTTGTTTCTATCTTCTCTCCCATATATCAACGTGCTTTTCCAATTTGACGACTCACCTTGATATTGCTTGCTCCTTCTTGCCTTTTTCGTTCGTCGTCGAGTGTGATACTTCCAGCGCCAATACTATTTCTCCTTTTCCTCTCCCCTAGACCTTTCTCCATGTTCTCCCCCTTTTCCTCTGCAACTCTCTTCCGTCTCTTCTGCTTACTGAGTGGCTCCCGAGAGATAAAGAGCATTTGGGACTCTTGGTGAGGAGATCAGCACAGATGTTCTGAGTACGTCAGCATCCACTGCCCTGCTCGTACCGCCTGCCGTCGATGCTGCTGAACCTTCCTTGGACGCGGCAGCAGAACCAATGGTTGCAACTTCGTTGCCGTTCTTCTCTTCCTTTTTATACGGCCCCCCTTCAACGGAAATCTCCATCAAATCTCAATGTGAACCTCCATCGTCTGTCTCTCCCGCTTCAGACACCTCCAAGTTTATCGCTCCTCCTTGAACTTCATCCGTTCTCAGTTCGGTAGCCTCCGTCTTTCCCGTTTCAAGCTCTGGCATTTTAGTCCCTCCTGCCTCACCTCCTCAATGTCTGCATTGTAACTTCCTTAGCTTCAACCTCTGCCTTATATATTCCTTCCGCTACAGCCACTCATGATCGACTGCTTCCAACCCCTACCTCTGCAATCCCTCTCGCTTCAGCCATCCCGCTCTCGTCTCTCCCTCTTTAGCCTTTTGCATATTTGTCTCTCGCACTTCATCCTTTCACGTGCTAGTCAACTCCCCTGCACCTAGGGCACCGCAGCAACAAAGGAAACAAGCATTGAGAGGAAAGACGGGCACGACGAGGGGGGGGGCTGCAAAGGGCAACAGGGAGGGAAGGAGAAAATGAGGAAATTTTGAGGTTTCGAAGAGAGCGGGATGGGCAGGAGGACGTGCAAAGGGGCGGGTAGGGGGACAGGGTAGAGTCCAGAAAGGTGATGAGTTGTGGAAAGTGATGGGCGATGCTAAGTGAAAGGGCAAGAGGATGGGGTGGCGGAAAGAAGGAAGATGAAGATTGCGGTGACTGCAAAGGGACAAGGGTGGATGGAGTGAGAGAGGGTAACAAGTGGAGGGAAATTTGGTGGGGGAGATGAGGAGGATGAGGTGGAATTGAAGGAAAGTTGAAAAGATGTGATCGTTGAAGTACAAACACCGAAAGAAGATAAAGGGAAGGAGAATGAAGGACAGGATGTCGAGAGAGTAAATGGGGTGGAAAATTGGAGAGCGGGAGTGGGCGGATGCCACTGCCTGCAGTGTTTGACACATAAGAGTATGGATGACAAGGCTGGTTGCCACGAGCAAGGATGTGGTGTGACACGCATGAGAGCATGGAGATTTTTATAGAGCATCAATAACTGCAAAAAAAATATCAAAACAGAAAAGCAAGAACAAGAGGGTGGATTTAACAAAAATGGATGAACAAGATATGAAAGAAACGATAATCACTGGGGAAAGAAGCAGCAGCAAGCAGCAGCAGCAGCAGCAGCAGCAGCAGCAGCAGCAGCAGCAGCAGCAGCAGCAGCAGCAGCAGCAGCAGCAGCAGCAGCAGCAGCAGCAGCAGCAGCAGCAGCAGCAGCAGCAGCAGCAGCAGCAGCAGCAGCAGCAGCAGCAGCAGCAGCAGCAGCAGCAGCAGCAGCAGCAGCAGCAGCAGCAGCAGCAGCAGCAGCAGCAGCAGCAGCAGCAGCAGCAGCAGCAGCAGCAGCAGCAGCAGCAGCAGCAGCAGCAGCAGCAGCAGCAGCAGCAGCAGCAGCAGCAGCAGCAGCAGCAGCAGCAGCAGCAGCAGCAGCAGCAGCAGCAGCAGCAGCAGCAGCAGCAGCAGCAGCAGCAGCAGCAGCAGCAGCAGCAGCAGCAGCAGCAGCAGCAGCAGCAGCAGCAGCAGCAGCAGCAGCAGCAGCAGCAGCAGCAGCAGCAGCAGCAGCAGCAGCAGCAGCAGCAGCAGCAGCAGCAGCAGCAGCAGCAGCAGCAGCAGCAGCAGCAGCAGCAGCAGCAGCAGCAGCAGCAGCAGCAGCAGCAGCAGCAGCAGCAGCAGCAGCAGCAGCAGCAGCAGCAGCAGCAGCAGCAGCAGCAGCAGCAGCAGCAGCAGCAGCAGCAGCAGCAGCAGCAGCAGCAGCAGCAGCAGCAGCAGCAGCAGCAGCAGCAGCAGCAGCAGCAGCAGCAGCAGCAGCAGCAGCAGCAGCAGCAGCAGCAGCAGCAGCAGCAGCAGCAGCAGCAGCAGCAGCAGCAGCAGCAGCAGCAGCAGCAGCAGCAGCAGCAGCAGCAGCAGCAGCAGCAGCAGCAGCAGCAGCAGCAGCAGCAGCAGCATGAGTAGCAGGAGTAGCATCACCCGGAGCAGCAGCTGCAGCATGAGTAGCAGGGGTAGCATCAACCGGAGATGCTGCAGCAGCAGCATGAGTAGTAGGAGTGGCATCAATCTGTGAAGTAGCAGCAGCAGCATGAGTTTTAACATTCGGACCCAACCGCCACCTGGTCTCGATACGTCGAGCCAGCTGTAAGGGGGAAACAAGGGGAGAAATATGATTGGTTGGAGTTTGATTGGAAGCGAGAAATTTGGAATTGACTTGATTGAATTGAGAACTAAATGTGGTTGCATATTCAGGTGCTGGTGAGAACTAAATGTTGTTGAATTGGCAGGGGCTGTTCTGAACGCCATCAACACGTGCCTGGACGCGCGCACAGTCGCTCTCATCCTCGCCCACGGCTCTGTTCGGCTGGTCATGGCGCACCGCTTCCTGGCACCGCTGCTGACCGATGCTCTGCTGCTGCTGCCAAGACTGCTGCGGGAGAAGGGACGTCAGTTAAGCCTGCCACAGGTGGGTGGTGGTGGGGAGTGAGGTTTGGTTGTGATGTGTGACATGGCAAGCAACACCATCAGCCCTCATCCTCGCCCACGGCGCTGCCCGTCTGTTCATGGCTCACCGCTCCCTGGTGCCACTTCTCACTGATGCGCTGCTGCTGCTGCTGCCGGGACTGCTGCAGGAGAAGGGAGGCCTAACAAGCATGCCGCAGGTGGGTGGTGGTGGTGGGTGGTGCTGGTGAGTGGCGCTGGCGGGTGTGATGTGTGATGGTGCAAGCAGCACCGTCGCTCGCATTCTCGCCCACGGCTCTGCTCGGCTGGTCATGGCGCCCCGCTCCCTGGCGCCGCTGCTCACTGATGCCCTGCTGCTACTGCCGGGGGTGCTGCGGGGGACGTCTATCAGGCATTCCACAGGTGGGTGGTGCTGATGGGCGGGATGTGTGATGTGTGATGTGATGTGTCATGTGCCATGTGTCATGTGCCATGTGTCATGCATCATGTGTTATGTGGCAGTGTGCATGCTGCACCTGCATTTGCTGCACAGGCGTGCACCGAGCCAGGATCAATGCTCCCTGTGCTGCCTTCACCGCAATTCTTCTTGTTGCAGCTGTTTCTCCAAGAGCAATATAAAAGCACCTGCACATGATTGGCTTGTCGTCCCCATCTCCCCGTATTCATGTGCGTAACCTTCCCTGCCGTGTTTTGAGTCGACTCAAAACACGATTCATCTCCCCGTGTTCGTGCATCTACCTTCCACTGCCTTCTCCCAACCCTCCACTACCACCCGCCCTTTCCCTTCCAGGTTGTCATTATCGAAGATGACGAAGAGCCGTCCGATCAGAGCGATCCAGGTGGCAGCGCTACTGACGTGGCAGCCCTGGCCGCATCACTGAACGCAAGAGGGGGAGGGGGAGGATTCAGGGGAAGAGGAAGGGGAGGGGAGAGGAAGGGAGTGGTGACTTATGAAGAGTTGGTACAGGAGGGGGATGAGCGGTACGAGTGGGAGTGGGAGGGCGGAGAGGAGGGCGGGCAGGGTGAGGGCAGGCGACTCAGGGGCGTGGTGGAGGACGAGTGGGATGCCATTGCGCTCAACTACACATCTGGCACCACCGCTCAACCCAAGGTACGGAAGGAGAGGGGGAAGGGGGGGACGGGAAGAGAGGAAGAAGGGGAGTGGTGGAGGATGAATGGGATGCCATTGCTCTCAGCTACACGTCCGGCACCACTGCTCACCCAGGGTACAGAAGGAGAGGGGAGCGGGGGGCGAGTGGTGACGTATGGGGATCTAGTGCAGGAGGGGGATAAACGGTACAAGTGGGAGTGGGAGGGGGAAGGGGAGGGCGGGCAGGGGGGGAGAAGGGGTGTGATGGAGGATGAGTGGGATGCGATTGCACTCAACTACATATCAGGCACCACCGCCCAACCCAAGGTGCTCTCACGTCTGCCGCGCTCGCTCCTCCCTCTGCCTCGCTCGCTCCTCCCTCTTCCTCCCATGCCCAACCTGCTCTGCCCTCTGCTTTCATTGCCTCCACGTGCCTGCCACCGGCTGTTGTTCTTGATACATGCTTCTGCAGCTTATTGTAAGAGTTTTTAGAATTTTCAATAAAACCATAAGCTTTTGCTCCCTGTTCTTTGCCACGTTCGTTCTCCCTGCAACAGGGCATGGTGTGCATGTGCATGCACAGAGGCGTGTACTCCCTCCCTTGCAATGCTGTCCAACGTGCTTGCGTGGGGCTTCACACCCTTCCCCACTCTGCCCCTCTCTAACCGCTTAGCCGCTTTCCCATTGTTTCCCCTTGCGCTCCCCCCCCTCTCTCCTCCCCTCCCCTTCCGCCTCCCCCTCCCTCACCCCCCAGGGCGTGGTGTACACACACAGGGGCGTGTACATATCAGCCCTGGCGAATGTGCTAGCATGGGGCCTGCATGCGCAGCCAGGCGGGCAGCCCCCCATGTACCTGTGGACGCTGCCTCTCTTCCACTGCAACGGCTGGACCTTCCCCTGGGTGTTCGCTGCTGTCGCTGGGACTAACGTTTGCTGCAGGGAGGTGCGTGGGGTAGGGAGGTGGATTTAAAGGGAGGCACAAGGGTCAAGGGTGTAGGGCAAGTGCTGCATTTGCTTCCTCGATGTTGTGCCCCTGTCTGTAGCCATGACATGTGCTGCTGTGTCGTCATAAAAAAAATGCCGTATTGCCTAAAGACGCGTCGCCTTTGTGCTGATAGATAAGTTTCTGTCTATTTTTTTTCGTGCTCAATGTAACAGGGTTACCAGATGGAGAGGAGGCCTCGGAGCTGCTCAGCTGTGACGTTTGGAAGGAACCTTTGCCTCTCGGTACTCACTCTCTCACACCCTCATACCCTCTCCTCTCACACACAACAAGCGCACACCCGCGCGCACACACACACAAACGCACACACATGGATGCCCACACACATGAGCGTGCGTGCACACACAAACACACCACAACCCATGTGATGCACATTCAGATGATTCTCCTTCACACAACACGTCCTTTTTCCTATTTTCTGCCCTTCTCTTCTGCTCGTAACTAGCTGTACAATGCGAAACCTGGAATGCCGATTCTCGCCGAGCACGTTGTGGCATGCGCATATGCAATGCAATACATGCAATGTCTTAAGTTAGTGCACTGGTTGGTACACAATGGAAGGAATGCCATACATAACTGGAATGTCATACAATATAGTTTCCTACATCCGTGCATGGTGATAGGTTCAGAGCGGTTGAGAGCGTTGCTGCGGATCAACAACTTCAGGGACGAGTTGCGCGCTCTCAGGCACCATTTCCTGGGCACCAGAGAGCTCAAGTGAGTGGATCAGAGAGCTCAGGTGAGTGGAAACACCAGAGAGCTGAGGTGCGATCCTGGGTTGACCCCTGTCTGCCCTCTCCTGTTGTATGGTTAAGTGTGGGGTGCTGCTATGCTGCGCCCTTAGGTACCACTTCCTGGGCACCAGAGAGCTCAGGTAGGTGAGAATACTCACCAGTAAGCTCAGGTGCGCTTCTTGGGTGGACCCCTGTCATCTCAGTTTGCGTTTCTTAGGTCCACCCCTGTCGCCTGTGCTGTGCTCTCCCGTGCTGGTGAGCTCTTATCCATCTCAAAGGGAAAGAGAACAAAGCTTCTATCATTCTCAAATGTGTTGCTCGTGTGCCTTCTTCCCATGCCTATGCGCACGTGTCTATTCTATTCCCCAACCCATGCCAATGCCCTTCCCCACGCCCACTCTCATATGTGCCAGAGTGGTGACAGCCACATGGAATGTGGCAGGCATATCCGACCCACCACGTTCTTGCTTCCAACATCTGCCCATGCCCATGCCCCTCCCAACCACCAGGGTGGTGACAGCTACATGGAACGTGGCGGGCATATGCGACCCTTTGTGAGGGTCAGGGAAGCTCACTCACACAGGAACGGCATCGCAATCAGAAGCATTGCCGCTGCTTCCTTCCATTTGCTGCCCATGCCCATGCCCTACCCATCCACCAGGGTGGTGACAGCCACATGGAACGTGGCAGACTTATGCAACCCTTTCAGGGAGGCTCACTCACACAGGAACGGCATCCCAATCAGAAGCATTGCTGCTACTTCCTTCCACTTGCTGCCCATGCCCATGCCCCTCCCATCCACCAGAGTGGTGACAGCCATGTGGAACGTGGCAGGCATATCCGACCCGCCTGCCCATCTGGACCTCACGGACCTGCTCTCCCTGCAGCAACTCGCCCGACATCATCGCCATCGGGTGGGTGCTAACCCTTGCTGCTGTGTCATGCATGTGACCTGGGTTGCTCCTTGCCATGCCTCGCCTTCTCACCTGGACCTCACGGACTGGCTCTCCCTGCAGCAACCTGCTGATATCATCGCCATTGGGTGGGTGCTCCTCACCATCATGCGTGTGACTTGAGTTGCGCCATGCCTCTCCTGCCCATCTGGACCTCTCGGACTGGCTGTCCCTGCAGCAACCCGCCGCCATCGGGTGGGTTGTTTCTCTTTGCTGTCCTCAAATTACTATGACATGCCATGTCATGCCATCCCATCCCATGCCATGCCATGCCATGTCTGTGGCCTGTGATGCTCCACGCCTCGCCTGCCCACCTGGCCTCACGAACCTGTTCTCCCTGCAGCCCCCAGCCGAAATAATCGCCATTGGGTGGGCGCTACCTGCCCTTTCCTGCCCTCACAGGCTCACACAGCTGTGCTGCTATGCCATGTCCATGGCCTGTTTTGCACACCGCTCTCCTCCCCACCCGACCCCCCCCGCAACTCCCCCTCTCTCTCTCTCTCCCCTCCCTACAACACCCGGTAGGTATCATCGCCATTATCAAGTGGGTGGGTGCTTGTCACCATACCATCACCCTTGCTGCTTGCATCACCCCTCACAGGGTGATGCTGTGCTGTGCTGTGCTGTGTCATGTCTGTGACCTGGGTCACCCCTTTTTTTGCGTTCACATGCCGTCCTGCTGAGCGTGGTGGGCAGTGTGCTGCGGATGCAAAGCACTCAGACAAAAGGCCCTTACTCATCACTTTCTCCTTTGCACCCATGTGTCCTCCCTTACCACAGCTTCCAGAAAATAGTCCCACTGAGCACGGGCAGTGTGTTGGGGATGGACTCAGAGGAGGCGGTGGGGCAATGGGAGGCTCTAGTCCGTCGCCAGCTCAACGCCGCCGCTGCCAAGGCTGCCAGAAAAGCCGCTGCCAAGGCTGCTGCTGGCAGCCATGCTGCGTCCAATGCTGCTTCCAAAGACTCGAGCAAAGCTGCAGCTCCTGAAACAGTGGAGGGACATGTGGATGGGGCAGAGCAGGCAGTGACAGACAAAGGCAGCAGGGTTGGTGATGATGAGACAAACAGCATGAGCAGTAGCAACGGTGTGCAGGGAAGGGGCACACCTCCCCAGTCTCTGACCAGCAGCAGCGACCCGTCCTTCCACTCCAGCAGCTTCCACCTCCCCTCCTCCGCTTCTGACGCCTCGAAAGGGTCGACTGATGACAGTTCTGCTGCTGCTGCTGCAGATCCCCCTGCAACAGGTGCTGCTGCAGCTGCTGGGTCTCTTGGGAGCTCCCTGGATCCCGCAGATGCTGGCACTGCTGCTCCTACCACACCTGAGTGGGAGGGGGTTGCGCTGCAGCAGGAAGCACATGCAGATAAGGCATCCCAGGATCTCATCAGCGTGCCGCTCACTCCTGCTGAGCCCATCTCTGCATATGGAGGTGGATATGGTGGGGAGGGGGGAGGCGATGGCGGGCAGTGCGGAGATTCACTCTACAACGGTAGTGAGCTAGACTACGGGGGTTGGCACGAACTACTAGGAGTGATCGTAGCTTTGCTTGGTTCCCTGGCACTTGCGCATTCACGAGAGAGATTGGCAAGAGTTTCCACTAGCAAAGTTGAGAATACAGAATGATTGAACAAGCAATGACAGAATGGACTACATCAGGCACCTAGCAACTCTGGAGCTAGCCTGGTCGACCGCCAGCACTGCATGGTCGACCGCCTGCCAGCGTTGCGTAGAGGAGCCGCGCCAGCACTGCAGAAGAGCGACCTGCCAACACTGCAGGTCGACGGCGTGCCAACGCTGCAGCTGTGCGGCTGTCCAGCGTTGCCCCGTAGAAGACAGCAGTGCGCACGCTCGCAGGTGCGCGCAGACGATTGGCCCGACTTGCCTTGTTGGGCATCCGTCGGCTGTTGTCTGCGCCTGACGAGCCACATCGACTTCAGGATACCAGCCCGCAGTCGCCTTCGCCATCGCGATCTCGACGACGTTCGCGTGCCTCCGCAGAACTCGTCGAGCAGGTTACCCGGTCGACCTGGACACCACCAGATGCTCCCGGTCGACCACCAGGTGCCTCTGGTCGACCACAGCTCTTGTCGGGCTACCCCCTGGTCAACAGACCCCTTCCGTCGACCAGACATGCTCCGTCGACCTCGCAGTCGAGCTGCAGGTCGACGGATTGCTCCATCGACCCTCTGGTCGAACTGCAGGTCGACGGACTGCTCCGTCGACCTCCCGGACGGCCCACCCGTCGCCCAGGCCAGTCAGTTGCAGCTGTCGAGCGCCCTGATCGACAGCAACACCACAGCGGTCTCCTGTAGCTCGTCGAAACCTGTCGAGCAGCTCTCCCACTGTGAACGGTCGGCTGCTACTCCCGTACATCCGACCAAGTCGTCGGCATTGCCCAAGCGAGGGCGGGGCCAACACTCCATTCCCGTTAACACTCCCCTGCCGCGCTCACGCTTGGGCCTCCAGCCCATACGGCAGTATTGCACGGAGAAAACTCGTCCTCGGCGTGCACCCCACACACAGCACGCCGTCACAGCACCAGCCATGCGGAAGGGCACGACACCTACTGCTGCACATCACCGTCGCCGTCGCCGACGTCGGCCAGTCGAACTTGGCCGATGGCGACAGAGCACCGGTTGAAAGCCGGAAAATGCAGCGCCTTCGTCAGGAAGTCCGCCGGCTGCTCGGTGGTCGGGCTGTACTTCAGCTCGAACTTCCGCGCCTCACCATGTGTTGGAGCTAGGCGTAGCGTCGCTCCATGTGCTTGAGGTTGCCCGTCAGCCCCAAGCCCTCAGCGACCGTGATTGCCGACTTGTTGTCGACGCGGAGGATGGTCGGCTTCCCAGCGTCGAGCAGCTTGAATTGCGCAAGAAGGAAACGAAGTCGACGCCCCTCCTTGCCAGCATCGACAGCCGCGACGTACTCCGACTCGGTCGAGGAGAGCGTCGCGCACTTGATGCGCGAGCTCGACCAGGAGACAACGGCCCCTCCGTAGACGAACACGTAGCCGCCCGTGCTCGTCCGCTTCTGCTTGTCGCCCGCGTCGTCGGCATCCACGTAGCCGATCAGCTCCAGTGACTCTGGTCCACCGCCGAACTCCAAGGCGGTGTCGCGGGTGTCGGCGAGGTAGGCGAGGCAGCTGCTAGAAGGAAATGCTGCCATGAGCAACAAATGTCGGCGCTGGGATTCGAACTCGTGACCTTCAAATCTGTCCTGAAAGTGTCTCAGGACAGATTCAGGACAGTTTCTACTAAGGGGGCTGGTTATGCTGCAGTTGAGTTTCGAACTAGAGATCTTTTGATTCAAGTGTCCCGAAAGTGTCTTGGCAGGACAGATTGGGGACAGTTTGGGGACAGATTGGGGACACTTTGGCGAAATCGATCTCGGGTCGCGTTCGGTTTGAAACTCGGCAGCGAAGTGTCGAAGTCAACGGAATTCGCACGGGAGTTACAGTCGGTGGTCGACAGAATTCTTGTCGCGGAAATTCTCGTCTATAAAGTTCCAGTCAATGGAATTCGCTCGGCGAAATTCAAGGCCCGGAATTTCGTGTCGACGAAATACAGCGTGCAACCCGGGTCGACACTTTCTTGTGTGCTTTGTTTTTGTATTGCGTCCTAGTATAAAACCAGAGAGCACAAACCAGAAATTATCTAAGTCATTATCACTGCTATGTTTGTGTGTATCTCTGGCTATAGTGGACCGTTTCCTGCAATCTTTGGTGCGTTGGAATCGTGCTTCCGAGCTCTATCAAGCTGCTATAGTAGTGAGATTCTACGTGGTATCAGAGCTGCGTTATCTTTGTCGATCCAACTAGCGGCTTGATTCAGTCCTCCCGTGACTCCGTGACTTCGTTCCTACGTTGGTGTGGCTGACGCTCGCTGTGACCGCGAATGGAGTGGTTAACGAGCGCCGAGGGCCTGAATGCCCGTAAGGAGCTGGAGGCGTCCGTTCGTGAGCACCACCCTAACTTGCGTGATTAGGAGGTCGACCTCATTGTGGACAGTCGACTACTACGCATGGTTCGGGAGCGCGCGGCAGAGCATGCACCTACGAGCGGCCAGCAAGGAGGAACTGGTGAAGGAGGAGCTGGGCACGAGGCTCCAACTGCCATAGGCGTTGGAGGAGGAGCTGTTGCTCCGACCATTGACACGGGAATGATCGGGACGAGCTACGGTCAATTCAAGTTTGGAGTAGAGCATATCTCCGTGACGCCGCTGCTGGAGGGAAGGCACGACCTCACCGCGTGGGTCAGCGCCATCCGACCTCAGCTCCAATGCGCTGATTTGTGGCAGTTTTGCAACGGGACAGCACCAAGCCCGGCCCTGAACAACCCCTTGCAACGAAGGGAGTACGCAAAGGGCCAAATGCTTGCATTCATGGTGCTGAATCGTTGTGTTTCTCCACCCATCCGAATGTCTATTGCTGGTTTCTCTCGGCAAGAGAAAACCGGGCAGATGGCATGGGCATACATCTTGTCTACCTATCAAGCTCGTGATGCCCTCCACGCTTCCCTACTTCAGACCCAGCTAGCCCAACTCAGGAAGGGAGATGATGAGACGGCGGAATCCTACTGCAACAGGGCCCGCACCATCCGAGCGGAGCTGCTGACCATTGGACAGGAGGTCCACATGGCCACGTTTGCCGCTCACGTGCTGAAGGGTCTGCCACCGGAGTACGGTTTTCTTCGCCGCAAGCTCGACATTTCCAGCCCTGACATGACGGTGGAACGTGTGTGCAGCGAGGTGTTGATGGAGGAGCAGACTCTCTCCATCGAACACAGTTACAAGCAGATCGCCAGCGATGCATCTGCTTTCTCGGGCGCTGTCAACACGATCGTGGCTACAATTGGGGTCAACGGGAAGGAAGGAAAAGGGGAGAAGGAGCAGACGGACAAGAAGAAGGATGGCAAGCGGGAGAAGAAGCGAGGCCCCTTCAAGGGGCGCTGCTACAACTGCAATGAGGAGGGGCACATGGCTGCCAAGTGCCCCAACAAGAAGAAGGATGTAACGCCCACGGCAGCCGCAAACGTTGCTGAAGGAGACGAGAAGGGCATGGCGCTCACCGTCGCGTGTTCGGCTGCAAAGCTGCTGGCCGACGACAAGGACTTGTGGTTCCTTGACTCGGGATGCTCCCAACACATGACTGGCCGCAAGGAGTGGTTCACGGTGATCCGTGACCCATCTGCAACGAAATCCGTCAAAGGGTTTGATGGTTCAATGCAGGAAGTTGCCGGTGTTGGTGAGGTTTTGCTGGAGGGCACTAACGGCTTGCGTGTGACCCTACATGATGTCCTCTTTGTGCCAGGAATGAAGGCCAACTTGGTCTCCCCTGGGTAGCTCTTGGACAAGGGAGCAAAGCTGCAAACCGAGGAAGGTGTCACTCGCATCATCGCATCAGGAGGTCAAGTTGCTGCAACGGCACGATACCGCCATCGCCTTCACTGCCTTGACCTGAAACCGGGGCCAGCAAGCAACGGTGCAACGGCTGCAGTGGCATGCAACGGCACGGCGGCTGCAACGGCAAGCAACGGCACGGCGAAGGAGATTGCTGATGTGGCGTCAAGCAAGCCGGAAGCTAAGGATGATGCGGCCAGCCTCAAGTCATACGCGGTAGGCTCCAAGGCAATGCCTAACCTGTGGCACGCTCGCCTTGGACACGTCCACTTCGACGCGGTGAAGCGGACAGCCACGAGCGGTGGCGTGTTCGGTATGGACCTGGAGAAAGGAGGTGAGGATATGCCGTGCACCTCCTGCCATGAAGCCAAACTCACTCGTGAATCATTTCCGCTGCACGACGAGCGAGAGGAGCAGGTTCTTGGGCTGGTCCATACTGACGTGTGCAGTCCATTCCAGACCCCAGCTATGGATGGCAGCAGGTACTACATTCTTTTCGTGGATCATGCCTCGCGGTACACCTGGGGGACAACGTTGAAGTTGAAAAGCGATGCGCTAGCTGCCTACAAGGAATGGCTCCCCGAAGCTGAACATCAGACCGGGATGACGCTGAAGGTGTTGCGTTCGGACCGGGGAGGAGAGTTTATGTCGAAGGAGTTCCTACTGCTGCTGAAGCAACGAGGGATCTTGCGTCAACTTTCTTGCCCATCGACCCCCCAGAAGAACGGTGTGGCTGAACGCCGCAACCGTACGGTAACCGAGGGCATGCGTGTGATGTTGGGGCACATGGGGGTGAAAGCACACTGGTGGCACTTTGCTTTCCAGCAGTTCTTGTGGGTGGTAAACCGTGTGCACCAATCCACTCTGCCCCATGGTGTGACCCCTCATTTGGTGGTGTTCAAAGTCAAGCCCGATGTGTCCATGGTCCGTGTGTTCGGGTGCATGGTGCAGTACCTCATTCCTGAGCATGAGCGTGAGGGGAAGCTTGCAAGCAAGACTCGTTGGGGCATGCATTTGGGCATGAGCATGGAAAGCAAGGGATGGCGTGTGGTGGATGTTGAGTCAAAGCGCATGGTCATCACCCGGGATGCACGTTTTTATGAGGATTTGTCACTTGAACGGTGTGTCAAAATAGTAGGCACAAGTAGGAGCCATAGCTAGGTAAACCCTAGCTAGGCAAGAGAGAAATGAGCAAAGGAGGGCTTGCACTAGCAAGAATGGGGATACAAATAGCAAACCCTAGAAGGGTTGTACTCGCTATAGAGCACCCCACTACAGGCTAGAGCATAATATTCTGACACACCCCCATAGCCAAAGTGGGGTGTAATCAGCAGAGCAAGCAAAGCAGTACAAGCTCAGGGTGGATCACAATGTCACCACACATTCTGAGCACAAGTTCAAGAAGCAATAGTTTAAAGTTCACAATTATGAGCAAAGCTAGAGGCAGTCACAGAGGGCAAGTGAGGAGGAGGAGGGCTGGCGAGAGGAGAGAAGAGTGGAGGCGACGACTGAAGCTGCAGACACACGGGCAACAGACGGCTCTGGTGCAACTCTAGTGGCTACCGGGAGCAAGGGCCCCGGAATACAGGAGTAACAGGCTCTGCGTCTGATCAGCAGCGACAGGAGCAACGGACCCACGGGCGACAGGTGCAACCGGCTCTCTGAGCTACCGGTGGCTAACAGAACCCCGGAATACAGGCGCTGCGGACGACACGACGGCGGCCTCCGCTCAACCTCCCCCGACCGTCCCACACCCCTCTCACACACCCCCTGCTGAAACCCTAGCTCCACTCCCATGGCACCCCCCTTAAACCCTAAACCCTCGGCTCCCACACACCCACCCCCCTGAGCAGCAGCTGCAGCAGTGGGAGACGGAGGAGGAGGAGGAGCAGGGGACGGCTCACACTCACGGCACCCCCATACCCTCCACCCCCAAACCCTAACACAGGAACGCGGGCAGTAGCGGGGGTGGGGCGCCGGCAGAAGCTCGGGGGACGGACGAGGCGCGCGCACGGGCCTGCCGCAGGCCGGACGAGGCGCGCGCGGGCTGCCCGGGCCGCGCGCGGGCCTGGCGCAGCCCGTACGGGCCGCGCGCGGGCCTGGCGCAGGCCGTACGGGCCGCGCGCGGGCTGTACGGGCCGCGCGCGGGCCTGGCGCAGCCCGTACGGGCCGCGCGCGGGCCTGGCGCAGCCCGTACGGGCCGCGCGCGGGTCCCAGGGGCGCTTCGACGGGCGACGGGGGCGTTTCGACGGGCGACGGGGGGCGCTCCGACGGGCGACGGGGGCGCTTCGACGGGCGACGGGGGGGAGCGCTTCGACGGGCGACGGGGGGCGCTTCGACGGTGGGAAACCGCCGCGCGCCTCGGGGCGCACGGCGGGCAGAAAACCGCCGCGCGCCCCGAGCGCGCGGCGGGAAGAAAAAACGAACATCGCGCGCCACGGGACGCGCGACACACAGGAAGGCAGCGGAAGCAGGCGGGCCCACAGGCCAGGAGCGTAACCGCTCTGATAGCATGTCAAAATAGGAGCTAGAATCATGAGCCATAGCTAGGTAAACCCTAGCTAGGCAAGAGAGAAACGAGCAAAGGAGGGCTTGCACTAGCAAGAATGGGGATACAAATAGCAAACCCTAGAAGGGTTGTACTCGCTATAGAGCACCCCACTACAGGCTAGAGCATAATATTCTGACACAGTGGCAACATTGGCGTGCATGCGCGGGTGACGGGACTGACCAGCCCACACCACCCTTAACTTCAGTCCCATCTCTCTTTCCTGAGCCCCAAGACCCCGAGCAGAATCTGCCACCACCACGTACTGTCATCGTGGTCCTGGTGCCGTCCGTGCAAGGGGGTGAACAACCCCTTGATCGCTCGGTGGGCCCTTTGGGCAGCAAGGCACCTACTGCACCACCTCCTCTCGGTCCACCCTCCATTGCTGATTCAGCGCCCGCGGGACCAGAGGATGGTTCCCTTGAGGACGGGGGCGACACGGCTGCTCTTGAGGAGGAAGGAGAGGTCGCAGTGAATGAGCAGCCGCCAGTGGCCCATGCGCATGAGCCTTCACTTGCAGCTCCTCCCATCCAGCCCATTCCACAACCCCCACGTCACTCCAGCAGGCCTAACAAGGGGGTGCCACCCGTACGGTTTCAGCCATCGGCCCTGACGGCCCAGGATACGGACGAGGAGGAGAACCCGTACGACATGGCGTACCTTGCTGAGGATGGCTGCGACACGGATAGCGATGACTAAGTGGAGTACCCGGACGAGGATGAGGAGGAGGAAGGCGCTTGGGGAGGTGTCATCCTCGACCTGGCAGCTGCGTTGACCGGACCTGAAGGCAAGGAATGGTGGGCTGCTATGAAGGAGGAGATGGAGAGCCTTGATGAGCAAGGCACTTGGTCATTGGCCGACCTGCCCGAAGGACGTACAACAGTCGGCGTCAAGTGGCTACTGAAGAAGAAGCTGCGGCCTGATGGCACCGTGGAGAAATACATGGCCAGGCTCGTGGCGAAGGGCTTTAGCCAGCGCTTCGGCATCGACTACGACGACACCTACGCTCCTGTTGGCAGCTACACCACCGTTCGCGTTCTCCTCTCAATCGCAGTAGCTATGGACCTGGATTTGCTGCAGCTTGATGTGAAGAATGCATTTCTTCACGGCACGATCGACCACGAGATCTACATGCAGCAGCCACCCTACTTCACCGACGGCAGCAGCAAGGTGTGCCTCCTGCACAAGAGCCTTTACGGACTCAAGCAGAGTCCCCTTCTGTGGTACAAGGAGCTGGACAAGGTGCTCCTTGTGGAGGGGTATAGTAAGAGCCTTGTGGACCAGGCCCTATACTACAAGGATGGGGCGTGCGGGAAGCGCGTGTGGCTGCTAATCTACGTGGATGACCTGCTAGCGGCAAGTGAAGACAAGCAGCTGCTGCAGGACCTGAAGGAGTTGCTAGCCAAGGCGTTTCAGCTCCGTGAGGTGGAGCCAGTGGAGCGCTACCTGGGGCTGCAGATTGTGCGCGACCGCCCCAACAGGACACTCCTCCTGCACCAGAATGCGTACGTGGCAAAGGTGCAGCAGCGCTTCTTCAAGGGGGCGCCACCAAAGAAGCAGCCGATTACTCCTCTCTCCTCCGCCAGCATTGCCAAGCAGGATGCCGGGCAATTTGCCGACCGAACCATGACCGAATACCTGTCAATTCTCGGCATGGTGCAGTTTGCAGCCATCTCAACCCGTCCTGACCTCTCTTTTGCGTGCAGCCGTCTTGCAGCAGGTGCACACCTAAGGACAGACGCGCATTGGCATGAGCTCTTCCGCACACTCTCCTACTGGGCTGCCTCACCGGACACGGGGCTGCTGTTCAAGGGAGGACCAAAGAGCTTGACTCTGGTGGGGTATGCAGATGCGGATGATGCGGGCGACAAGGAGAACCGGTCGTCTACGGGAGGCAACCTCTTCAAGCTTGGCGGAGCGGCCGTTTCTTGGCAGGCCAAGAAGCTGCAGGGTGCGACCAAGCTCTCCTCCACCGAGAGCGAGCTTGTGGCTGCGGTGGAAGCGGGAAAGGAGGGGCGCAAGCTGAGGTTCCTGCTGTGGGAGTTTCAGTTGCTCAAGAAGGGTGTTCCCACTACCCTGTACATCGACAACATGTCAGCGGTGCAGCTCAGCCAGGCGGGCGGGCTGCAGGGGCGCATGAAGCATGTGGACCGTCGCCACATGTGGCTGCAGGACATGGTGCGCATGAAGAAGTTGGTGTTGCAGCACATCCCAACAACGGCGCAGCCCGCGGACTTCTTCACAAAGCGGCTCGATAAGGCAGCCTTCAACCGATGCTGTGCAGCAGCCGGGCTGGTCCAGCGTGCTCCTGACAGCAAGGGGGCGTGTTAGAAGGAAATGCTGCCATGAGCAACAAATGTCGGCGCTGGGATTCGAACTCGTGACCTTCAAATCTGTCCTGAAAGTGTCTCAGGACAGATTCAGGACAGTTTCTGCTAAGGGGGCTGGTTATGCTGCAGTTGAGTTTCGAACTGGAGATCTTTTGATTCAAGTGTCCCGAAAGTGTCTTGGCAGGACAGATTGGGGACAGTTTGGGGACAGATTGGGGACACTTTGGCGAAATCGATCTCGGGTCGCGTTCGGTTTGAAACTCGGCAGCGAAGTGTCGAAGTCAACGGAATTCGCACGGGAGTTACAGTCGGTGGTCGACGGAATTCTGGTCGCGGAAATTCTCGTCTACGGAATTCCAGTCAATGGAATTCGCTCGGCGAAATTCAAGGCTCGGAATTTCGCGTCGACGAAATTCAGCGCGCGACCCGGGTCGACACTTTCTTGTGTGCTTTGTTTTTGTATTGCGTCCTAGTATAAAACCAGAGAGCACAAACCAGAAATTATCTAAGTCATTATCACTGCTATGTTTGTGTGTATCTCTGGCTATAGTGGACCGTTTCCTGCAATCTTTGGTGCGTTAGAATCGTGCTTCCAAGCTCTATCAAGCTGCTATAGTAGTGAAATTCTACAGTAGCGGTCGACCTCGCGCCAATGCTGGTCGCTCCTCACCGTGAGGCCGCTCCCCAGCTTGCTGCAGGCGAACGCGATGTCTGGCCTCGTCGTCGTCGCCGCGAACTGCAGCGAGCCGACTTTCTGCCGGTACTCCTCCTCCTCGCGCTCCTGCGCCTCCTCGTTGTCAAATGTCAGCTCGGCATAGGCGTCGACCGAGACCGGCGTCTTCGGGATTCGACCGCCCTGCTCCTCGTCGATGAAGCGCCTGCGCAGCTTGTCAGCGTAGTTTTGTTGGTGCAGCCACAGCTCCCTCGCTGACCTGTCGCGCACGATCTCCAGCCCAAGGTACTTCACCACCGGCGAGATCTCCCGCAGCTCAAAGGCGGACTGCAGCAGCTCCTTCAGCTCCTTCAGCATCGCGGTGCTGCTGCTTGCGACGAGAAGGTCGTCGACGTAGACCAGCACCCAGCAGGTCACTCCGTCATCGCCGGACTTGAAGTAGAGCGCCTCGTCGACCTGGCTCTTTTGCCAGCCAGCCCCCAGCAGCACTCCGTCGAGAGCTCTGTACCACAGCAGCGGCGACTGCTTCAGCCCGTAGAGGCTCTTCAGCAGCTTACACACCCGGCCGGTCCCATCGTCGAAGTAGTCCGGCTGGTACATGTAGAGCACCCTGTCGAGCTTGCTCTGCAGGAAAGCGTTCTTCATGTCGAGCTGCATCTGTTTGAGGTCGAGGATGACGATGATGCTGAGGAAGATCCTCAGCGTGACGTAGCTGCTCACCGGCGAGTACGTCTCGTCGTAGTCGGCGCCGTACACCTGTGTGAAGCCCTTCACGACCAACCTCGCCTTCTCGCGCTCGACGGTGTCGTCGATGTGGTACTTGGTCGTCAGCACCCACCGGTTCTTCATGATGTTCACCCCGCGTGGGCGTTCGACCAGCTCCCAAGTGCCCATGCCGATGAGGCTGCGGATCTCCTCCTCCATGGCGGCCTTCAACGGCGCACCCTTCCAGCTCGCCAGCGCCTCCTTCACCGTCATCGTGGCGATGTCCCAGCGGTGTTCGGGGTCAGCATGCGCGTCGGGGTCGAGCTCCGGCAAATCGTCATCCTCCTCGGCGTCGTCGTACAACAGGTCGTCGTCGACCTCGTCGTACACCGTGGCGAAGGCAGGCGTGGAAGCTCAGCCGCTCCGGCGGCCGTCGAGCTCGACCAGACCGTCGCAGCTCCGGCGCAGGCTTCTCGACCGGAACCTCCACCACATCACTGTCGGTGGATTCCTCCCCCGCCGACAGCTCCCCTTCGCCGTCGACGTTCACATCGTCGACCAGCTGCTTCGACTCTTCGACCGGCTGCTCGTCTGCTGCTGACTTCGACAGCTCCCCTGTCGACCGCCCCGGCTGCGGCTCCCCTGTCGACTGCCCACTTGATGCTGCCTCCTGTTCGACCGGCTCCCCTGTCTGCTGCTCCCCTGTCGTCGACTTCCGGCCCTGGTCGACGAGCATGGTGCCTTGTCGACCGCCGGCGATGCCACTGGCTGGCACCACAAGCGACGCCTCAAGGCTCCCCTCATCGCCGGTGGCCGACACAGGTGTCGAGGCAGACCGATCTGCGACGGGGGAGGGAGGAGCAGGAGGCAGAGGAACCACCACAACATCGTCATCAGCTGGCTCGTCGACATCGGCGAGTAGGGGGACCGTCACCGTCGAGCTGTCCGTCGGCGGGTGGGTCGGCGTCCGCCCCGACGCCGGCCCATACTTCGCCTTCCACACCTCCAGCGACAGCGTCTCGTAGAAGATCACCTCGACCGACGTGACCACCTTGTTGTCGGTCAGGTCGAGCACCTCCCAGCCCTTGCTCTCCGGCGACACACCCAGGTGGAGTCCCCAGCGAGCCTTCGGTGCCAGCTTCCCACCGCGCTGCTGCTCGGGAACCATGAACTGCACCATGCAGCCCCACACCCGCGCCAGCGTGAGGTCGGGCTTCTTCCCGGTCAGCAGCTGGTACGGAGTCGTCCCCGGCGGCGTCGTCGACCGCTCCAAGCAGTTGCGCACCCAGACAGCCTGTCGAAGAGCGAGGTGCCACCAGTGGTGCTGCACGCCCATGTGCAGCAGCATCGTCCGCACGGACTCGACAACCGTACGCATCTCTCGCCCAGCCATGCCGTTCTGCTGCGGAGTGTAGGGGCATGTCAGGTCGTGGACGATGCCCTTCCCGTCGACGAAGGTGGTGAACTCCTTCCCGAGGAACTCCCCTCCCCGGTCAGAGCGGAGCGACAGCACCGACTTCTTCGTCTGCCGCTCCACCAGCACCAGCCACTTCTGAAACTCCCGCAGCACGTCGCTCTTCTTAGCGACCGGCATTGTCCACACAAACCGAGTGTGGCGATAATTCAGCAGCAGGAAGTACAAGCTGCCATCCTTGGCAGCCACCCGAAATGGCCCGCACAAATCAATGTGCACGACAGCCAATGCCTCTTCGGCGTCTGAGCCCTTGTCGGGGAAGGTGTGCCGCGCCAGCTTTCCTCCGACGCACGAGACACATGGCGGGTCTGCTCCGGTCGACGGCGTGATGTCGAGCCCAGTAGCAACTTCATGCTTCTCCGAGCTCTTGATCGTATCGACGCTGACGTGGGCGAGCCGCGCGTGCATCCGGTCGGGGGTCGTCTTTGTTGCCGAGGCGATTGTCCGCAGAGCCACCACCTCGGTCGACGGCGACTGCGTCGAGCAGGGGCGAAGGTCGGTGCAGAGGATTCGGCCG